TTTTTTTGTCCGACCAGACTGGCTTTTTGTCAGGTCAAAACTTGTCTTTGTCCTGACAAATGACCTGCCTATAGACAAAAATTATTTGCAGGCTTGATACACTAAAATGATCAAAAAATCCCTTTTGTTTTCATTAAAAACAAGTTTTTTACTGTTGTCATGAAGTTCTCTAGAACCTCTAATTTCATTGGATCTTGTTAGCACAAAGCTCTATTGTTTTAGAGCTAGGGTCCCTTGTTACTACTGTTTGTATATCGTTTACTCAGCTAATCCTCTGAGACTTTCGGAAGAGCTTCATGGCCACCCATTTTTCAAAGGTTTGCAAGGCTGAACTGGACTCAAACATAGCCCAATTAGCTGCCACACAGTTAGTGGGAAAATGTCTAAAGCTAAACGATGTGGGCATGCTGTTGATGTTGATGGAGAACACCTTTCTGTTCCCTATTTAACCTTTAAATAAATTATCTCATCTAAGGCTTTGATACATGTACGTTGCAAAGCTGGGAGTGAAATGGGCACAATAATCGTGCATGCATACAGGAATATGGTACATAGTGGTAAGTTGTATATTAGGATGCTGATTTTATACTGGAGAGAAGATTTTTTTTATTCTACTGGAGCAAGATTGGAGTCGAGCTTAAGCTTACATGATGAACATTTGAAAAATGATGCTGTCAAGAGTGTAGACATTTCAAATTAAAGTGGAGTTTGTCGTATTAGCAATGAAAACGGAGGGTTCCCAAATCCCTGACATCAAAGAGCAACGTTTGTTAAACGATCTTTACAGCGATAGTTATAAGCGTCTTGAAATGAAAGGTAAAAAGAAAGCAAGTTTACCGGATAGCCTCCAGGCATCATAACTGGCGGAGGGTTCCCAGAGTAACCACCCCCTGGACCACTTCCTGAGGAAGGAGGGTATCCTCCAGACGCCTGAAAAAAACAGAGAAGAGTTTTGAGTCACCCTGTAGTTTTTAAATAGTAAACATGAATCTTAAAGTTACAAAAACACACCATTTTTTGGCGTATATTACTAGTTTTCGTCCGCCTTTCCCTTCAAGCGCGTGTAGTATCCCATGAATCAATGTTCACTCTGCGCTTGATGTACGAGGAGGGAAGCTTCCATTCAGCGCGGGCCCTGTGAAGCCGGAGACCACAGAAAATGGCAGCTTCTCTAGGTTAGATTTTTCCCTAGATCGGCAAGCATGTCCTCTTCCAGCTCTGGCCAAAGATTTGCGGACTACTTTGTGGTCAGTGGATTAGATGTTGTGACTGGGCTTGAAGCTGATCAGTTGTCAGGTTTGTGGAAAATTTCCACGCTATTTTATTTTGAACTGTGACGTTTCCAGAAACGATTACATGTAGGCAGATGTGATTTGTTGTTTTTCGCGCTTTGAAGGGTAAATTTTAACTGCAGTTCAACAATCTGCGAGCAGTAAACAAAGTCGGCATTTCGAAGTTTATGCGCGATTAAAAATCTATGTTTTCGAGTGTGCTTTTAACATAGGAAATGTTATAGGATTTTTTTTAGTTTGTGTTTTGTTCCGTTGTCATACTGTGAAGTCAGTGTCAATAACAGTTCAGTTTCAGGTGTCTACGTCCGGCTAGTTCAGCTGTAAATGGGCAAATTGAATTCTGCTTTTATATATTTTCACATTATTATACCGTGCATGTATATGAATTTAGCATGATGGCTTCAGGGAATTACTTGTGAGACAAACTCATGCCTGCCAAAATTAGATCCAGCTGATTTAACAGTGGATCAAATGATGGCCCAGTCGAAGATGTCGTATATTAACTAGAATTTTATTTGTTGGAAAGCGTGTGCTGCATTCCCCAAGTATAATTTTAACCTACAATATATATAAGTTTTCATATGGCAGGATGATACATGTTAATTATCTTCCTATGGTACATGCATCTGCATATATTCCCATGGTGACATCACTTTGATTTCTGTTTAACATCTTGTAAGAGGTAGTTGTGATTTTATCAGAAGTTAGAAGATAAGAACGTGTTCTGGTACCTTTATATTTACGTGGCAGTTCTTTAAGTGATCTAAATCCAGAGATGTGTTAACATCACTTCTGGTCATAAAAAAATACAGTCATGTATATTGGCTCCACTAACCTCCCTTCAAAGAGACGTGTATTGATTCACCACTTTGGTTCTTGTTTCGTTTTTTTTCTGTGAAAATCTCATTGCATTTGTGAATCATCTGATGTGTTGGTTAATTATTGGAGACTATGTTTAGATCTGTCATCATTAAAACAAGCTCCATAATTTTTTGTATATTGTGTACATTTTTACCAGTACGATTATAAAACTTGCATTGTCATGCTCTAATGTATATCAGACATAACATGCCTGTTTTTACATACAGTGAGCAGTTTCTTATCTTAAAAATTTGTTAGTACTTCTAAAAGGGTGAAAGACTCCAAAGGATAAGTAATAAACACTCAGTTTGAACCATGTTTAAATTTGCTCTTTCACAAATTATCATACCTACTGCAGAGATGAACATGTATCCATGCATGACTGTGCAATATTCATTGCCATCAATAGACACTGTCATTTGAACTCATACCAGGAAAACTCTCTGCAATAGAAAAATTCAAAAGAAAATGCAAACAACCTGCTCCCAAATTATGTGGCTTAACAGATTTTAAAATGAGAATTTAAAGATTTACATTTTTTACATTACATTTTACAATTGAATTGCATGTGCATGTATAAAGGAACATTTGCTTATAGATTTTGATGTCTCCTTGGCAACTGTGCTGTTAATTAGACATCACTTTTAACAAAACAGGGCTGTGCTCTAGAAGCGCCCAGGTGCCACAGGCAACTAACTTTTGCCTTTGGGTGACTGGAAAAACTTCCTTTTTTCATATAAGCTTAAGTGCTGGCCACCCAGGATTTCACAGCGAGGAACCTTTGGACTCCTTATAATTTTTCTTAGACCACAGCCTTGCGAAAGTTTTCTAGTCACTGACTTTGCAGTTTTATGCCTCCCAATAAAACACTGTTCAGTGATGCAAGATGTTGAAAGGTTTAAAAACTTGTTACTGTTCTGTTTCTGATGTATGATGTAGGGGACTCTTTACACCGATCTCCTCTGGAGCGTTCCTATAAAGCCAAAGTTTTGATGCACTTTCCTTCAAATGTTGACTGGAATCCTTTTGATGAAGATGCCGTCCGTATGGTAAGGTTCCTGACCAATCAGTTGAACCCAAATTACCTACATGTAGAACTTGATTATGACTATCCAGATATATTCATTGTGGTCCTGTTTTGATTTGTATGGTATATTGTTTGATCCAGAAGGATAGATAATGAAAACTGCAATCTTCATATTATGTACATTCAAAGGGGTTCAAAAATGTCCAGTGTTTAAATATTGTAGTACATGTAGCTGTCGTACATGTACCTCTTAAATTTGTTGGATGATGGATTTTCACAAAATGTACTTCAAGCAAAAAGTACTTTCAATCAGTATTATTACATGTACAAGTAAATTAATATTGTCTCCTGAGTACACTATGATTTCACTTTGACATGATAATTGTGCCTAAACCAATAACTTAAGTGCTACTAACTGTAGATTAAACCATAGAGATAATTACCTACAGTACTTAGTTTAATATTTGTAAAACTCAAATTTTTCATGTCACTTCCATTTAAATCACCTGATAACCTCCTGACAAAATTACATTTGATAAATAATATAATTTGTATAAATTCTGCTTTTCTGATTTTACTGTGTAATGTCTTACATACAAGATCTGTTTCTTTTTGTAGCTCTGTTTACCTCAAGGACTGACATTTAAAAAGGAAACTGAACAACATGAACCACGTTTCCACTCCTTCCTCATCACTCGAGAAGATGGCTCAAGGGTTTATGGTTGCGCGCTCACTTTCTATGAAGCTGTTAAAGACCCTCAGATCTGTAAAGCTATGGACACACTGCAGGCCATGCACGATGCTGAGTTAGCAATTGCTGAATCAAGATCTCGCTCTAAATCTCCAGTTTTTATAACTACCAACAGCACTGGTTCTGTGGAAACTTCAAGTTATAGTGAACATTTAAACACAAGCTCTGACATGAGTAATATCTCGAACAAAAAGTCCTTTGACCTTAGTAAGGACGCTCTTCTAGTATCAAAATCAATTTGCATCATAATGCCACTGCCATTTATCTCTGCTGGAAAGGGTTTCCTAGAGCAGATGTACTATGCAGTACAGAATGAAGAAAATCTACCACTTCCTTTAGAATCATACATTTACAACCTATTGTTTGAGGTGCCGCTTCCACCAGCTGGAAAAACAATGAGATTTAATTCCTGTGAATTGAGTATCACTTGTCAGAGACCTGGTGTGAATGAGCTTCCTCTGTTTGATTACTCATTCAAAGAGCTCTTTACTTTGCTTGGTGTTGAGAATGTTGTAAAGCTGTTTACATGCACTCTACTGGAACAACAAATTCTTCTTTTATCTAGTGGTGAGTAAGTTATGGGGTTTATCTAGACATAAAAATAAAAAAAAGCAAATAGTAACGGTTCTTTACAGTATTTCCAATCCCTCTGGTAGCCAAGCCTTTTTCTCTACATCAAGCCTGATGGATCAAGATAAAAGAGAGATCAGTCATTGTCTACCTGGGATCAGGATGTGCATTAACCACCAGGCATAATAATAAATAATTAATGTATGTTTTGATAATCGTTCCTCCTGTTGGCTAATTTTGCTTGGAT